TCTCTCCGGTGGTGAAGCACTCTTCGATTCGGATATTGCTAGCTTTTGTGGCACAGTATGGTTTGGAGTTAGATCAGTTGGATGTGAAGATGACATTTTTTCATGACGATCTTGATGAAGAAATATATATGACTCAGCTATTGGGATTCCGAGCTACAGGAAAGGATAAGTTGGTTTGCAGGTTAAAAAATTATTATACAGTTTGAAGCAATCTCCTTGATAGTGGTATAAGTGATTTGATGGTACAATCATTTGTACACTCGAAGCCAGTTTGATCATTATGTGAAGCAAGTTAAAAAGAGGTGTGTATATTTATTTATTGCTTTATATTGATGATATGTTGATTGCTTCTATTTTCAGATCCGCTATAGATGAGTTAAAGGAACAACTTTCAAAGGAGTTTGAGATGAAGGATTTGGGTGAGGCAAAGCGCATTTTGGGGATGAAGATCGACAGAGACAAAGAGAAGGACACAATTTGTTTGACACAGGTGGCTTATTTGAAGAAGATTCTATAGCGATTTAATGTTAGCATGGATACGAAGCCAGTTAGTATACTTTTGGGAGCCCATTTGAAACTTTTAGCTGACCTTTCACTGAAGACAATTGAAGTTAGAGAGCTGATATCGAAGACTCCATATGCGAGTGTAGTTGGGAGCTTGATGTATGCAATGGTATGTACAAGTCCGAATTTGTCATAGGCAGTGAGCATGGTTTTGAGATACATGCACGATCCACGAGTGGGTCATTGGGACGCCGTGAGATGGATTTTGAGGTACATTCCAGGTACTCTCAATGTAGGTTTATGTTTTAAGAGAGACACTAGAGGTGGGCAGTTATGCATCGGCTATGTTGATTCCGATTATGTTAGTGATTTGGGCAAGGGACAAAAAGAATGGCATAATTTGTTTGACACATGTGGCTTATTTGAAGAAGGTTCTATAGCGGTTTAATGTTAGCATGGACACGAAGCCAGTTAGTATACTTTTGGGAGCCCATTTGAAACTTTTAGCTGACCTTTCACTGAAGACAATTGAAGATAGAGAGCTGATGTTGAAGACTCCATATGCGAGTGCAGTTGGGAGCTTGATGTATGCAATGGTATGTATGAGGTCGTATTTATCACAGGTGGTGAGCATGATTTTGAGATACATGCACGATCCGGGAGTGAGTCATTGGGACGCCGTGAGATAGATTTTGAAGTACATCCGAAATACTCTCAATGTTGGTTTATGGTTTGAGCGGGACATTAGAGGTGGGCAGTTGTGCATTGGCTATGTTGATTCAGATTATGTTGGTGATTTGGATAAGCGCCGATCTACGACGAGATATGTGTTTACTTTGACCCGTGCACCGGTATGTTGGAGATGCACCTTACAGTCTACGGTGGCTTTGTCGATGACGAAGGGAGAGTATATGGCGATTACGGAGGCTGTCAAGGAGGCTATTTGGCTTCAGAGACTTTTGGAGGAACTTAGTATATCGCAGCGGTCCATCACTCTTTATTGTGATAGCATGAGTGCTATCTATTTGGTGAAAAATTAGGTTTTTCATGCGAGGACGAAGCACATTGACGTTCGTTATCAATTCGTTCGGGATTTTCTTAAAGATGACAATGTGAATATTGTGAAGGTCCACACGAAGGATAATCCGACAGATATGCTCACAAAGATGGTTTCGAGCAACAAGTTTGATCATTGTCGAAACTTGTTACACATTCATGATTGTTGAGGCCGTTGACGGCCATTTGGATGAACTACGGACGGCTTGATCTCTTAGGAGAGGGGGTATGTAGGCAGTCAATTTGATGCAGCCGATTTGGGTTCTCGACTTGTCGTGGATTTATTCCACTTCGTACTGGACGCAACAAGTGAGAAAACTTCACTGAAAATATTGGTAAAGTTCATGAAATTTGAAGCAGATAGACATTTGGGTGCTTTCCAGTTGACCACGAGCTTTGGCGCGATCGACCGCAAACGTGTACGAGTACAAGGTAGTTTCTGGAGTTTTGGTCGGTCGACCGTGAGGTTAGGTCTGGTCGATCGCAGACCCTATAATGGATTTGTTTGGTTTCTGTCATTCTATCCGGTCGACCGCGGCGTCAAGTACGGTCGACCGCCAGTCGGGTTTGGGCCTGAGCTTTATTTCCTGTTCTGATTTGGTTTGTGTTTTGATATATATTGAAATACAATTTTAGGGTTTGTATTATCCGAGAATAGAGAGTATTCTGAGCACTTTGAGAGGGAGAACTTGTGAGTGAGTTGAGAGATCATTGGTTAGAGTTTGTTCGAGTGTTTGAGTGATTGTAACCCTTTTGTACTCCCCTCGAAATAGTAAAATCTTCATATCCTCTCCCCGTAGACGTAAGCAAATTGCCGAACCACGTATATCTCTGTGTTTGTGATTGGTTTGTCGTATTTGTTTGGATTGTGCTCGAGTTTGGTTTGTTAATCTTCTCTCGTTGCTCGCGGACTCGTTTGATTATCGAGCACGCTTCCGCACGGCGCACAACAGTGTACAATTGAATACTTACTAATATAAACCATCATGGGCTGTTTATAATATATTTTTACTTAAAAAACAGTTTTAAAGCCTATAACAAAAAAGAACGTATTCTCAATTCTAATATAAATATGTTATCACAAAATTCTAGTAGAAATACATCTGAAACGGATAATAGTCTAACCAGCTAAGTTAACGTACCAATTTTTCTTTGAAGCTAAACTCCTCGTTGTAGAAACCCCCAACTTATCTGCCGCTGATTCAGTCATCTTGCTTAGGAACTTCGGGTTTCCTCCTTAAATACAGTACTCAGCAACCCATGCGAGCACCTAAAAACTGATCGAAAATTAGTATCTGTTTCTGTAAAGCAAGTGGAGGCTTTAACAATAGAGACCAATTCCTCTATCTTAAGCAGTTGCATTTTAACACCAAAAAAGAATGCATCCAGCTTAGAAGATAACAACATCGTCTTGCATTCCATGGATTTAGATTTTATAAAGAAATTTCAGTGAATTTGTAGGGAGCCATTTGATGCGGCGTCCATTTGCTTGTATGAGCTTCATTGAAAATCAAGGCACTACTAAATAAGGCTGTGTTTGGCAAGGGGATAAATGAAGGGTTAAGGGGGTTTAACCCTCTATTAGCCTGCCAAACAGAAAAAAAATAACAAAGGTTAACAAACCCGCACGTGAGCAAACCGGCCTATTTATCCCGTCAATATACGGGTTAACTATTCTTCGTAAGAAGGCGGAACAACGCTTGTTCCGCCTTCTCACACGAGGGTAGCGGCGGAATTTAGGAATAAATTTGGCAGCAGAGTTCGGCAGGGGAGTTAGGGGAATTAGGCAACGGAATCTGGAGGGAAAGATACAGAAAATTTTGGCAGGTGAATTCAGATAAAATTCCCCCCAAATTGTTTCTCTCTATTCCTTTCCCTGTAAAATTTCCCTCTAAAAGCTTCCCTCTCCTTTTTACAACTGAAAGATCATTCGCAACTATAAATATGAATATTTGAGGGGGAGCAATCAAAATCGTTGCTGAAAGTTGCTGATCTCAAGTGACGGAAGGCCAGGGATTTGAGGTTCGAAGATTTTGCTTTAATCTCAGTTTTTGAAATTTTAGTAATCTAATTTTTATACATAGAACTATGCACAAAGAGGGATTTCGTTATTTGATGAATTTTGTAGATCGATTAATTATTAGAGTTTTCTGAATGGGATTTCAGCTTACATTTGGGTTACAGTATGTTCCTGTTGTAATTTTAGGGCCTCGTCTTTGCCTTTTGTCTTTCATTTAAGCGTACATCCCTGTTCTTCCTTTTCTCTTGTTTATTTTTTGACCATTTTAATTCTTGGGTTATGTTTGTCCCTGTACTTTAAGCTGCCATGAAAGTTTGTGTAGCCCTTGGCTATGATGGCGCTTAAGTTCCACTTGTTAATTGTGTCCTTGGAAGCAATTATAGCTATTAATTGTCCTGATGAGTATTCTAGGATTTTCACTATCAGTGAACGCAATTTGATTTTTTGAGGATTTTTTCCTTAGGCTCCATTTCTCATAGATGTTGTATCTCAGATTTGGGGGCGTTTGTAGAGATTAATGCTGTTGGAATGACTCATGTGTTGATTAATTAGGGTTTATGGATCAGATTTCAGGCTTGCAGTTAGTCTCTGGATTGTGGATTGTGGGTTTCTTTTGTTTTTTAATGCACATAATTCTAGGTTTCACTAGTGAGAAAGCAATTATGACTCATGTCGTAAAGATCTTATGAAGCTTTATGTTGTGCTTCTTTATTTGGCTTGGACTTGGAAGAATGAGATATTTAAGGGATGGAAGGGTGTTACCTAATAATTTAGATTAACTCTTATAATTAAAAGGGGTTTGATTTGCATCATGTTCAATTGATCTTCGTCTTAGTTTTGCCAGTCTCATGGATAATGAGTGATGGAATTATAATTATAATTGTTTCTATGTTTAAATGAATGTTGATCATAGCTGTAATTATAATTATAATTTCTTCATTTTCTAATCCTTTCCTCTTCGTTTAACATGACATTTTGTTTTGATTTAAGATCTCAGGCTGTAACATGTCTGATTCCATTTTGCGTTAACTTGTACTCACTTGGAAGTATTAGCTATGTTATGCTATGCTTCACCTAATTAGAGAATACTGACTAGTTGTTAATTTCAATTATTTTGTGCATTCATGACAAAACTTTGGTTAGTTAGAGATGTGTATGATATGAGACTGTATTTTATCTTCTCAATTTTGGTAAAAGAAATTCATGCTTTTATAATGTCTCCTGCCATTCTTTAAATTATGTCCATAAGTCATATAATATTAGTGGTACTGAGTTTATAGTTTTAGTTTGTATTTCTTTGTATTTCCAACTCAATATTAAACCATAACAGATTGTGTAAAAAGTTCTAATAGATTATAAAATTGATTAGTTTATTGTTCAATTGATTAACTTCTTTTAAAATTCTCATTAATGATCTAGAATGGCTAAGAAGAACTTCATATCACAATCTCAACCCGAAGGTGGGCAGTCAAGACCTCGTGCCAGGAACTGGACTATAGAGGAAGATAATTGTTTGATGGGAATATTAAAGGAAATGGTCCTTAAAGGAAAGAACAATGGAGGTCATTTCACTACCGAGTAATGGAAAAATGTAACCGATGAGTATAAAGTTAGGACTGGACAAAAGGACAGAGGCAAACTACAAATGCAAAACCGCTATAAAATTTTGAAAAAGCAATATTCCCTTAATTACAAACTCCGAAATAAATCAGGTTGGGGTTGGGATGAAGGTAAAAATATGGTGATTGCACCTACCGCAAAAGATTGGGAGGCACTGATAAAGGTATTATTTAAATTTCTACCAGTAAAGCATTTGAATATTATATAATTAAAACTATGATATATTTATTATGAATTTTCTACCGCAGGAGAATGATGAGTATTTAAGAATTAAGAACAAACCTTTTCCTCAGTTTGATGATATGGATTTTCTATGTGGAGGTAACACATCTAAGGGGCGCTGGTGGTTTGGGACTACCGATGACTTCAATGAGCGTGAAGGAAGCACTAGTTCAGATAATGAATTAGATGATATTGAGGGGCCACACAGTAACGAGATAGATTTGAGTGAATCAGAGGAGGTACAAGTAGTGGAAGAGACACAAGTTCCTTTTAATGGTACACAACTACCATCACAACCAATACCTATTTCTACTCCAAGCAGAAAGTAGCAAGCCCAACCATCAGGTTTAAAGTGTAAGTTTAAAAATATTTCTCGTCATCGAGTATCAGGTATTGAAGTTGAAAATAATTTGTCAAAGATGATTGAGCTACAAAAGCAGCGAATTGAAATTACAAAAGAGCTAGTAGATTCCAAGAAAGGGGTGCCCACTGAAATGAATGATGTGCATGATAAGATTAATGAAATTATCAGGTGTAACTAGTGATCTATTGTGTGGCAGGAGCAGAAGCTATTAAAAAGAAGGAGAATAGAACATGTCGTTAATATGCTTAACGGTCAAATGCTATTATCATGGCTCAAGAAACAAATGGATTTACAAAATGCAATGACCGGTTATTCCATCGCCTATTTACAATTTTCCAACATCAACGCACCTCTAATGCACCAGTTTCCAGGGTCATCACGAATAGTCACAAGCTCATGACATCAACATGCAGGAGATGGGGTCATTTGTCAACTTTACTTAATTGAAGAACAAAAACTTTTCGTACCATATGATGCTTTATGTTCAAGTCTCAAGAGATCAAGACTAATCAAATTTAGTTTATTATTATGTTTTTTTGCTTTTAGTTGAAGTTGATGTTTTCAAAGAGGACTTTTTTTATTGTCAGACAATCAAATTATGTTTTTTAATGTTTAGATTATATACATATGGTGGATGGTTTGTCTTTCATTGTGAATCATTCAAAATTTTGTGCGGAGCATGTGTCAATTATAATTTATGGATTTCTTTCTTGTCTTCTGATTTCAGTAAGTACTATAATGTGAGGCAAGTTTTCTTTCTTGAGTTTGCCCAAGATACCCAGTTTAATGAGTTCCATAAAACTTCCGTTACAAATTTTGGAGTGGGTTTATGGATAATGAATATTGAATACCCCTTGTAATGTCATCTGCTGATCAAAATGATGACTGATCCTAAAACTCCTATATATCATTCTAATTTGCTAGTTATTGGTTGTATTTTCTTGTCTCTTTTGCATAATAGGGCATGAATGGTGTAGAATAATGTAGTCAATGATATCATTCAAATGTTCAAGAAAGGAGAAAGAAACATAGGGGAAAAGGGGAAAAAATAATTCAAAGAACATTATTGGATCCACATCCAAAAATCATATCAACAAATCTTACATGCTGGGCTTTCTCGCTTACTCTACAGTCATTTCGTGGCATGATGAATTAATAGGCATCCTGATGTGGTCTTGCTTTTGTAATAGTGGATGGTTTGCTCTTCTCTTTACATAGTTGTTTCGCTGGAGATGTGTTAAAGACTTCTACTAAAATACAAGCAGTGCAAATGTGAAATTATTGATGTCACTTATGCCTAATTGTTCATTCCAATACAATAATTGTTGCACTTTGTTTACTTTTTTTATATGCTTCCAAATGCATTTGAGCATTTTCGTACTAACTATTGATAAGCGAGTTCTAACAACTAACAATTACCTGTTTATTGCGCAGTTACGATTGTTTGTCCGGCTGATTTCCATACTAAGTGTAGTTTCTTTCATGATCATCGTATATGATCTGTTTTGCCAGTTACACATAATTCGAGCTTTATTACTGTCACTATATCACTATTGATTTTGAACTTCTTTTTCTTGATTTTGAAGATAATTAGTCTAATTTTGTTCTGTGACTACGCCAGGATTGTGATGTCCATAGAACAATGTAACTCAAGCGTTAATTTAATTCGACCTGATTTAACAAAAAATGTTTTACAATAAATGCTTTAGTAGTCCTTGATGTGCTTCAAGTACTTAAATAGGTCATTATGCTCCTTTGCAATTTGATTTATTTATTTGCATATATAAACTCAACATGATCCAACAATTAAATAGTTGTAAGTCTCATATGATTGTTCCATGATCAGGATTACATATTTAATCTGAGCTGAACTTTCTTGCTTGCCTGCATACTTCATATTATTAGTTTGTACAGGAAGATTTAAACGACACATTATGATGCTAGCAAGTTTAAGGAGCATGCCAGTCGCCAGAACTATGTTCATATGTGTCATATCCTAGCATCTTTTATTTTCTTCGTATCACATTACTGGAATTTGTTTTAAGAACCAATCATTCATCTTTTCCATTTCATCATAGTTGTCTTACTTTTCTGATATGTCGACTATTGGGGTTTTTGGTTCGAATTTGTGCTTGTTGTCGCAGCTTTGGGACTGGATTTCCAGTTACACATGATTCGAGCTTGTTTAGCTCTCGATTGTTGGGTTTTTTGGTTCGAATTTGTGCTCCGTTGTCGAGGCTTTGGGACTGATTCCAGTTACACGTGCTTCGAGCTTGTTTAGCTCTCGATTGTTGTGGTTTTTTGTTCGAATTTGTGCTCGTTGTCGAGCTTTGGGACTGTTTTCCAGTTACACAATGAATTCGAGCTTGTTTAGCTCTCGCATTGTTGGGTTTTTTGGTTCGAATTTGTGCCTCGTTGTCGAGCTTTGGGACTGATTTCCAGTTACACGTGCTTCCGAGGCTTTGTTTAGCTCTCGGATTGTTGTGGTTTTTTTTTCGAATTTGTGCTCGTTGTCGAGCTTTGGGACTGTTTTCCAGTTACACATGAATTCGAGCTTGTTTAGCTCTCGATTGTTGTACTAATGGTCAACTCAATCAAGGTGCAATAAAAGTATGGTACTAATGTTTTTTGTGAGCAGTTTTGTATTAAATCAACAAGATGTTTAGATCAATATAGTTGATCTAAACGTCTGGAATAACCGATTTAGTGCATGGTAGTTCTGTCTTAGTTTCCCTAAGGTTAAGGAGAAGAAGAAGATGTGAAGTTCATTTGAGATGCTCTGGTTGATTTTAGGAAGGGAGAGAAAAATAGAAGCTGAATTTAGTTGTGGATTGATGATTGAGTCCTTTATTGCTCTGTTTTCATAGTTCTTGTTGGAGTCGCTGAGTTCGTCACTGTGTTGTTTTGTAAAAAGAGCCATCCTGTTTTTGTTGATCAAGTTGGTCATTCGCTTTTGCAGTGTTTGAGTCTTCATTGTGTTGAGTTGTCCTCTATTTTCTTGAGTTGATCATTTGCTTTTGTGTATGCAGATGCTACTAACTTAAATAGCTAATAACTTTTACTGTCTTATTGGACCCAAGACTGTTTATTTCAGCTCTATTTATCTATATCTTATTGGGGATTTTGTGTCGTAATTTGAGACTATTTATTTCAGTTCGATTTATTTATGTTCTATTTATCTCTCTCTTTTGTTCTGAACAAAGAGCTTGCTGAATCTTGGCTGCCTATTCTTTATAACAAGTTGTCTAATTTTTCGTTTTTAATTTGGTTGAAGATGAATTCATTTGAAGATTTTGCAAGCAATCTTAGTGTTGATGATATTGAAGCACTTGATGATGAAGATGATCTTATAGAGGCGTTGCTTTTGAATGATGAAGATGAGGATGAGTACATGTGGAACGAGATGATTACGAGCATCATTCATCAATCAAATGTGATGAAGCAGGTTCCTCGACCATGTCGAACTAGACCATTCTCTGGTCATATGCTTGTAGAAGATATGTTGGCTGGACATCCTGATCGTTCATATTCTTGTTTTCGAATGAGTTCTGAGGCAATTCTTTTGCTTAAAAATGTTCTAATTGAGAAGAATGCTTTAAGGCCAACTAGATATTTAAGCTGCAATGAACAACTTTGTATATTTCTCTACGGAATTTCGCATGCCCTTTCAAATCGAGTATTAGCTGAGATATTTCAACATTCAGGAGAGACTATTAGCAGGCATTATAATAACGTGCTTAATGCTATTTTATCTTTGAAACAAGATTATATCCAGCTTCCAACGGCTGACGTAGACGTTCATCCTAAGATTCGAGAGAATCCCAATTTCTTCACATACTTCAAGATAGAGCTCTCAACATATCTTTTATGAAATCTTTTTAAATGTGTATGTGTGTAGGTATCTATACATTAGAACTTTATATTTCTTTTATTTTTACAGAGAGCTTTGGGAGCAATTGATGGATCTCATATTCCTGTAATTGTGAAGAAAAAAAACACAACAGGTATCGTAATCGAAAGAATTTCATATCTCAAAATGTAATGGCAGCGTGCTCCTTTGATCATACTTTTCTTTATGTGGCTGCTGGATGGGAGGGATCAGCATCTGATATGTCAGTACTCCGTGCAACACTGGAAGATGGTAAATTTAATGTTCCTGAAGGTAAATTTTAATATTTTTCCTTCTCTTTTTTTAAAAAATCAATTGGTATTAAAGTCAGATAATTTTAAATATGCAGGTCACTTTTACTTAGTTGACTCAGGATATGCTAATACTTCAAAATTTATCGCCCCATATCGTGGATCACGTTATCATCTTGGAGATTTTGCAAACAGGACCACCAGAGCCTATCGAGATACTAAAGACAAATATAATCATAGACATGCACAACTACGTAATGCAGTGGAAAAAGCATGGGGAATTTTAAAGCAAAGATTCAAAATTTTGAAAGTTGCTGCTCCATTTCCTTATAAAACTCAAGTCAAAATCGTTGTAGCTTGTTGTGTTCTTCATAATTTTATTGCAAGGCATCAGGGAAATGATAAATACTTTAATATGCTCAATGGATTAGAGATGAATGAGGATGAAGATGAGGTGGAGGAGGAAGAAGACCCCCAATACATGGTTGGTGCAGATGAAAGTTTAAGGGGTGAGCAGCTTCGCAACAGGATTGCTTTACAGCTTTGGAATAATTGAAATATGTAGTTGTCGAATATTGAAGTATAAGGAGGTTGAATTATGTCTTTTACTATTTTTATATGAGCAAAACTTATAGTTTTATACAGATCTATTGGGTGGATTGTTTTTTCCTTGAATAATCAAATATATTTTTTATTGAATAATCATTTTTTTTGCCAGTTTTATTGATAGAGAAGAAACCATATAATATTTTGTTAGCTCATTATCTCTCTTTAGCAGCTGAAATAATGTGAAATGATGATTTATTTTAATTTTCCTTCTGAACAATCATTTATTGAATAATACCAAATTGTCATTTTAGCGTTATTTCAAAAAAATATTTATCCCTCGTGTCTCAACTAAATTACATATTAGCGCTTCAAATCTTTGAAATTGCTCAGAAGATAAATAACGCAAAAAAGATATTAATGAGGCAATTAGTTATAAATTTTCAGTAAGGGCGAAAGTGGTATTTTTTAAAAAATTAATGAGATTAATCTTCTTATCCCTTCTTTATTTGCCAAACACAAAAGTCTTAACCCCTTGTCTTAACTAGCGAATCCAAACGGAATTAGAATATTTTTAACCCTTCACAATGGATTAACTAAGTTAACCCTTCTCCTTAATCCCTCTTCCTTAACCCTTTGCCAAACGGTGCCTAAAAGAACCCAAGGGAAATGGTGGCACATGACATTACTTTCCTGTGGATAGATCTACTTCTGGACTCTTGCTAGGGGGTAAATAATACCTAAGTTGCAAGTACACAACTATCAAGTTATAGTATAAAAAAGGACAAATTTTTGAAAACGACCCTTTTGAGAAATTAATGAGCAAAATCGACATTCTCTCCAAAAAACAGCAAAATCGATCCTTTTCATCCAAACTCAGATGAAAAGGGTCGATTTTGTTGTCGACATTTTTTTGAACTACACGGGCTAATCCACGATTAGCATGCCAAACCAAATGGTCGGGACTAGTAGTCCTGTCCATTTGGTATATATAAGGCTAAACGCACCCGTGACCCTCCCCTCCCCTCTTCCCTTACCTTAATTAGATCTCCCGACCCCCACGACAGATCTCGCGACCTCGCCGACCACGCTTGCGCTAGCCTCCAACCACGATCGCCTCAGCCTCTGACCACACTCGCGACCCTAGCCTCCGACCGCGCTCACGACGATAGGCGCTTCCAACCCGCTCGCGACCACAGCCATCTTTGACCACATCAAACTCCAATGAAGGTAAATTTTTTCGCTATTTTCTTGTGAATTTGATGATTAATATGGATGTATCAGGCTAGGCTAGAGTTAAATTTTGATATGAATGATATGATTTTTGATTTAGGGTTTAATTATAATTAGGATATGAAATTTGTGGTGTGAATTGTAATCTTTTGTGAGAATTTTGATGAATGATATGGATTGACTAGGGTTTATGATTTTGGATATGAAAATTTTTAGTTTTTATTTTGTGAAATATGATGAATAATGTGATTTGGAAGTTAGGGTTTAACCATTATTTGCTTTCCAATTGAGATTAGGGTTTTAAATTTGATCTTCAATTGAGATTAATATTTTCAGTTATAATAGATTATTTGCATATGATGCACTGTTGATTTTCAGTTTCGATGGCGAACTCTATACCCATTATGTGTTTCTTCAATGGAAGCCTCGGCGTCGGAGTGAATAGTATGTCTATGTATGAGGGAGGTTATAGGAAAATGTTTATGTTATCTAAGTCATGTAATTTTGATAGAATAATGAAGAAAATACACAGAGTTATTAAAAAATAAAGAAGAATATCTAATTAAGGTGTTCTTCAACTGTCCGATAAATGAGAATAGAACAATTGCCGTGAAGATTACCGACGATGAGGAGTTGAATGACATTAAACAATTAGTCGAGAAGCAAGTGACAATTGAGTTGTTCATTGAGAAGTATCTGATTCTCGAATTTGCCCAAGTTCCATGACCTCGGCTAGACAATTAGATTTTTACCAAAATGAGCTTGACCGTATGAAGGTTTTCAGGTATCTTTTCTATAAAAATGAGTTTTTTCTTTTATATGTATTTTAGTTATAATGATATGCAAAAAATATGTGAAATATTCTGTAGATGGAATGGGATCCCTACACTCAGTTTCTCAATCGCCTACCACCGGTATGCACATAATACCTAACTACATGGAGAGCCAGAGTTCCTCTTATATGTTTTGAGATAGTAGAGATGCATGTGTCGGACCGCGTTCTTCGACAATTTGATCTTGCGCAATATGTTCCGCAATTTGTTGAAAAAGTAGAGAGGAAGGCAAAGAAAGATGGCCATCAAAAGGACTGGGCAGCTGAGCATTGGGATTATATACATAGATGGAATGATAGACATTTCTATATTGTTGAGCAAATTGAGCCAACTCCCCGAGAATCGGATTACTACACTTGGTATTGGGGAATAACCCGAAGATGGATAATCCATACGACCACAGCACCGGTTGAGTTACAAAAAGGATACGTGCCCGGGGTATAGATGAGAGAGAATTAGTAAGTATTTTCAGATTTTGATTTAAGGTCCATTTTTATTGGTATTTCTCAATATTGCTAACATGTGTTTTTTGGAATAATTGCAGGTAGCAGCAATAGATGATATTCAAACCATTGCAAATCATGACATAGAATTGGCTCGAGCAGATAATATAGAATTAAATTTTAAATTTAGATTTTTGTAATTTGAATTTTAAATTAATTTTCCTATTTTGAATTTTTTTAATTCTCTCTTGTAGGTACATATCCCGAAGCATAACAACATGTATCGATATATCAGTCGATAGTGCGGAGGCTTCATCAAGCCTTAAGCTGAACTTACGAAGGTCTTCATGATGGACAAGAGGTTATACAACATGACAATCCCGATATCGTATAACATGTCAACTACGACAAAGCCGAGGACGACGCAGAAACGACAATGAAGCTGAACCATCCCAACATGTTGACGATGAAGCTGGACTGTCACAACCACAAACACAACCGAAAAATTAACTCATCCAAGCTCGGGGTGGAGGAGGACGAAGACAGAGGAGGACGAAGACAGAGGAGGAGGAGAAGAGTTCTTGGATGTATGTAAACTAATCATTATTGTTTTATACATTACAAACCTATTTTGGTATGTTACTTGTGTCGTGTGATGAGAATAGTATATTATGTCTTTATATCAATGTGAGATGGTTTTTAGATTTGTAAATGAGTTTGTGGTGTGATTTATGGTGGGAATTTGTTAGATTTATTACGATATATATCGATATGAGTTGCTTTTTAGATTTTTACAGGAAATACACAAAATAGATATGGTTACAATGTTTTTACAGGAAATTAACATGAGTGTTGCAAAAAAAACGTGCACAATATAGTGCATAGGAAATGCACAGGACTAGCAATCCCTTGCATTTAGTTTTTGTGCCCAGGAAATGGACGGGACTAGACTCTTCGCTTAAAACCCGGGACTGCTAATCCCGAGTTTTAAGCAGAGAGTTGGGGACTTTCACATGAAATGAACGGGACTACTAGTCCCGTCTATTTTTTGGCATGCTAATCATGGATTAGCATGTCTTAACTACACGGGACTAGTAGTCCCGTGTAGTTCAAAAAAAAAACACTGATATCAAAATCGACCATTTTCATCTGAGTTGGGATGAAAAAGGTCGATTTTGCTTTTTTTTGGGAGAAGGTCGATTTTGCTCATTAATTTCTCAAAAGGGTTGTTTTTAAAATTTTGTCCTATAAAAAATGTCGATCACTCGAGGAAGGCGTTGTAGGAAATAATCAAAATTGGTTTCTAATTTGTGTATTGTGTGGGCTATTAAAAGTGAGAATGTGGAGAGATAAAGAGCATGAGTGTGGTTATATGCAAATAAAACAAAACTAGATTAAAAGGGGAGAAGAAATTAGAGGAAAATAATAAACAAATAAAGGAAAATCAAGAATAAAGAGGAAATCACAAGTAAAAGATGGAGAAATATAACTAGAGAAAGGAGGAATTTGGAATTGAATCAAGTAGTTATTGCACTTAGAATTTATGAATTATTTTCTTTGTATTACAGTTTACTTTAGATTTGTTAAGAGAAGACTGTCAAACCACTTAAGGAAATCATAACTTATCAAATTATGCTCCAAGTAAAATTAATATTCATGAAGAGAAAGACAACTAGATATTAAATTTAGAATTCATAAGCATAATCTATTAAAACACTCAAGATAAGCATAAATTATCAAATTCTTCTTCTACCAATTAGTTCTCTACTTGATTATTCTAAACATTATAATTTTAAGCACAAGAGAGCAATTCACAAATTATAAAATAAATCAAACTAGTTTCATATAATTCTAGAATTCCTACAAGATTTTAGTTACACATTCTGAAAAATAAAGAGATAAAATCTAAACTACAGAGTATGAAAGAAAGAATATAAAATATAGAAAAATAAAAATTAACTACAAAAGTAAGAACAAGAGTAAACAAATAAATATTTAAACTATGAACACAGAAATAAATCTAACTATAAAAAGAAAAACATAAGAAAATAAATCTATACTACCAAATAAATATACAAAAAATAATACTAAAATAAAAATATGAAAGTAAATCTACTCTATAAGGCATTAAATTAAATCTAATCTACCATAAGAAATAGAATTCTAAAACATGAATATCTAAGTAGAAATAAAAGAGAAAAAGAAAAACTTACATTGCAAGATAGTTCTAGCCCCTTGAAAGCAATTCTCCTATCTTCATCTTCATCTTCATTAACAAATAAAGAGAATAAAAAAATATGAAGAAGCAAAAATTCTTTTATTAATTGTATCAAAGTTATAATTTTGAAAAGTCTTCTCTATTAAGAGTAACCCTCCTCTTTAAATAGAGTTTTTACAAAATCTTTTCATACTAAACCCTTCATAATCTACCCTTATTTATAGCCTATAGCAATGAATGAGAACATTTGAATTTTGCTTGGAGAACAAGAATTAAATCTCAACCAGAAACTATTTCTATTGTGAACCAATC